GGTGGGGGGAGCAGGAAAGGGGCAGGGGTGAAAATAAATAACACGGACAGACAGAGCTCCCCTCCAGACAGATGAGGTTAAAGGAAGTTGGAGGGGAGCCATCATGGGGGCAGGGAGGCGTGCTGGCCGGTCAGGGGGGTGCAGCTGGGAAGGAGCGGGAGGTCAGGCCCCTGGCATTAGACAATCACCTGCCCGTTCCCTCCCTGCCCTTGCCCCACTGCTTTGGAGAGGAAGGGAGCCCAGTCAGTGGGGTCCGGCGAGGATCCGGAACGGGGGTGCCCATCCTGGCTGCCTGGGCCCCCTCACTTGACCCGGATCTCAGCATACTCAGCTAACTCTTCCGTCGTCGAAGTGTAGCTGTCCTTGGTGGGCCGTTTTCCCAGGTCTGCGTGGGAATAACTCGGGTCCCGCTGGGGGGGCTCCCCCCGAAGACCCAGCAGCCTCCTCTCAGACCCTAAACGCCTCTCGCCCTGTGAGGGAAAACCATCCGTCAACGGGGTCCTGCCCCCCTCGCTTCTCTGTGACATGGTCGGCACCCCCACAAGTTCATTTCCAAAGCCCGCGTGGGCCTCCTTCCTCGACCAGTCCCACCTCCGCACATCGCTCCTCCAGGCACCTTGGAAGCTGCCTACAAAGGCACTTCCACTGGGAAGCCTTTCCAGGCCACGCCTTCTGGTGGGGAACCCCATCTTGGTCATGTTGGAGTAATGGGTGGTCAGTATGGGGATCCACTTCCGCTTCTCACTCAAGCCCCTCCTCCCCCCTCAGCCCCCTCCCACCCCAACACGAGCTTTGGGACATACAAGCACACAGGACAGGCCGACAGAAAGGGGCCACCATGAGGCAGAGGAGACAAGACCAGACCGCTGGGCAGGGCCAGGCGTAACCCGGGGCCCATCCTGAGCGCCCGATGGGGACAGACACACATGCACGGCCAAGCCCAGCCCGGCGTGGCCCCAAGCAGGCACACTGAGGCCCCCGGAACCTACCTCCTGGGGCCCCTCAGTGACACTCCAGGGTAGAGCCCGCCTGGACTACTGGAGAAGGAAATGTTGTCATAGACCCGGGGGAGCAGGTGGGCCTCCCTGGTGCCCCGTGCCCCAAAGTCTCAGCCTCAGCTTGGGCACCCCCTCCCCAGCCTTGAGGTCGAGCCCTATGCAGCTTCTTCCAGTTCGGTTGTGGGGGCCGGGGGGCTCTTTTCCTCTGAGGCTTTGGCTCCTCCCCCTTTGCCCCACAGACTCCCAGGCCCCGCCCAGGCTGTTGGGGTCCCTGGCCTCCAGGTGTCCCGATCCCCTCAAACCACAAGTCTCTGGCCCTCACCTCGTACTTCTCTGGTGCCCCAGAGATGCGGAAGTCGCTGCTGAACAGGACAGGGGGGTTGTCCCCCGCCGAGAAGCTGGGGCTCTCTGTCACATTCTTTCTGCAGGGCAGGATACATCAGTCCCAGTGGGACCCCTGTCCCCCCCTTCCCCTTCCTGTCTCCACCCCCATCTACCTAAGATTTAGCCCCAGGGACCCCCACAGCTATTCTAGCCTTCTCTCTAGAGGATAAGCTGAGAACCGCTTCAAAGTGACATCCCACCCCCACCTCATCAGCCCACACTGCCTAGCGCCACCGCCCTGGCCCCGTCTCTGAAACTTTCTAACGCAGGACCTGGCGCAGAGAGCGAAGCTCCTTTTCGGACAGTCGAGGACCAGAGAGAGAGCTGAGAGCGGCAGTGTGGAACCCGGTGGAGAGGGGTGGGGCTGGGGGTGGGGGGGTGGAGCCTTTTTGTGCCCACAGATATCTGTCATTGTTGGGATTTAGGGGTCTGACTGAGAAGATGCCCTGGCTGCAAGCCGGGGGAGCCTGGTCGCCGCCCGCCACACTGGAGTGGGTGGGGGTGGGGAGAGGTGCCGATGTCGAAGGCAAGGCAGTGGCACAGGGCACTACCGCAGTGCCTCCCGGGAAGGGCTCAGCCCAGGGGCAGGCTGCACCTCCCAGCAGTGACTCACATGCTCAGCCACCCTCTCCTCCCTCTGCCACACTGCAT